TGCACATTTTCCCCTCAGCACTGGGGAACTTTAATCTGGTGCTCAATGTCATGCAAAGAAAAGCCTGTGGACTCCAGGGAAGATTTGGATCCCAAGTCTGCTGTGTACCATATGCATGCAGCTCTCTAAGGACAGATATTTCCCAGCTTGCTCATCTTGATGTACCTTGAGGGCAGGTAATATCTCAGTAACCAAAGTGGAGGACAGATCTCAAAGTACTCAGGAGATACATGCCTTCCATAGAAGCAGAACAAATTTACTAAGAGTGATTCTAGTTCTAAGACACTGGCCCTGACATTAACATATTCATATTCTCTTGTGGGTTTTTAGCTGTAGATTTATCATGATGTGACTCACTGTGCATGTTTTCATTTTTCATTCTATGACTAAAATAGAGATTGAACACCTAGAAATACAATACCTTGAAAAGTGTCGACTGGCATTTTCACTTAAAATTTCCATGCTTTTGTCAAAGCTAGAGTTTGAACAGCGTGACATGTTTTTTCTCATCGATCTTAAACAGTGTCCATTGAAACATTCAATGTTGCCAGAGGAAAATTTCTAGGAAAAGAAGGAAGAATGTATTTATCTGAACTACTTATATTGCTTCATTTGATCAAGTTTAGTCTGTTACATTTGTGATTCAAGAGAGTTGAAACTAATGGCAGGTAAGCCTTGAACCACTTCTGCACCAAGAAGTACCTCTGATGAAAAAAACACCCCAGATTTTAAAGATAAAAAACCAAAATCTTTGATTTCAGACTTGATTCAGTGACCCCAGTAACCCAAATCTCACCTATAACATGCAATTGTTCCACCCGTTTGGGAAGGGACAAAAATTACACTACAAAAGGAGGGGTTTGGGGCAAAAAAACACCAAAACAACAACAACCAACCAAACAAGAAAAACAATAGAGAGAGTAAAGTCCCTCTGCTTGCTTTGCATCAGCTTATGGACTGTGTTACTCCTTGTCCCTGAAGGGATACCTTTAGGTGAGCTTTGTGCCTCTCAGCTATCTTGGAGCAGACATGGGAATATTTACTTAGATTTGTTGCTAATAGATCTCTATCACCATTCCTTCTGTAACAGCACATACTAACATTGTAGCTGGTGCATTTACCACCAACAATTCAGAATCTGCTTTTCTGTTGCTTCAATTACCCACACTATTTGCCAATCCCCTAAATTGCTATTGAACTCGGCCACGCTGTTAGTGTCCAATGGGCTATAACCAGAACTTAGGCCCAGCTGCACCCAGCTCTTCTGATCTCTGAGGAGCAGCTGGAACCCAAGCGGGTTCATTTTCTGCTAGACTTCTGGATCTTTAATCCAACAGAAGAACTCTTAGTAGTGGGATTAAAATATTTTTTGAAGATTTTTCCTCCTGTCTCTGTTCCATTTATAATGGCATTCAGAGGGATATAAAATGACTTCCTTCAGAAGGGTAGCATTTAACCACAGAAAACCAAAGGGAACTCAAGATACAGTTTGCCATGGTTGTTCACACTGGTGTTTCTGCATGGAGGATGCTATTGACTTTTGCTGTGTGAGGAAAGCTGTGATGACTACGAGAAGCAGCTTGTTCCATTTACAACCCAGGGTCTCATTACATGTATGCCACACTAAATCTCACACTGAAAAGGGCAGAACACAGACCAGATGATTCTAATTCTTCACACTAATGTTACCAAGCAACAATTCCAGTCATCGATGGAGATGAGTGAAGAAGGACCACAAGGATGTCAGGACGTTATGCAGGGAGAAAATTGCCAGGGGCACAGCCCAAACAGAATTTAATCTGACTACTGCCATAAAAGACAACACAAAACATTTTCACAAATACATCAGCAAGAACAGGAAGACTAAAGAGAATCTCCATCTTTCACTTGATGCACAGGCAAACGTATGACTGGATGAGGAAAAGGCAGAAGTACTTTGCCTCAGTCTTCAACAGTAAGGCCAGCAGTCCTCATGGTATCCAGACCGGGACAGAGAGCAGAAAGAAGCCCCCATAATCCAGGGGGCTTCTACACCGCTTGGACACCCACAGGCCCCAACGGGATCCCACCCAAGGGTACAGAGGGAGCTGGCAGAGGAGCTTGCCAAGTCACTTTCACAGGATCATTAAGGTTGGAAAAGACCTCCAAGATCAAGTCCAACCTTTGAATGATCATCACCTTGTGAGCAAAGCCACAGCACTAAGTGCCACATCCAGTTATTTCTTGCACACTTCCAGGGGTGGCGACTCCACACTTTGCTGTGTGGCTTATTCTACGATTTAGCCACCCTTTTTGTGAAAAATTTCTTCCTGATGTCCAACTTGAATCTTCCCTGGTACAGCCAGAGGCTATGTCCTCTTGGCCTGTCATGAGTTACCTGAGAGAAGAGGCTGATCACCTCCTTTCAGGTAGTTGTAGAGGGTGATAAGGTCTTCCCCGAGTCTCCTTTTCTCCAGGTTCAACACCCCCAGCTCTCTCATCTGCTCTTCATATGACTTACTTTCTAGACCTCTCCCCAGCTCTGTTGTCTCTCTCAGGATGGATTCCAACACCTCAATGTCTTTTTTGTCACGAGAGGCCAGAACTAGACACAGGATTCAAGGTGTGGCCTTACCATTGCTGGGCACAGCCATCATTGCCCTGGTCCTGCTGGCCACAGGTCAGAATGCCCAGACAAAAAGGGAACTCTGGAGCACACCGCCCTCAAATATAGGTCACAAGAACAAACTTGTTCAGCTTGAGGAATTACACTAGGGTTATAGACCTGGACATGCACAGCTTCCAAAGGGATAGCAGCAGCCACTTTGGATCTCACTGGGAGACTCATGAAACTTACTGGGACTGGAAACCTGAAATAGAATAAACTTAGCAGATATTGGTCTACCTTACATCTCCCGTTTTAGACTTCTTACTGTCCACAGATGAAATGAGCTGTACAACTAAAGATAAACTATATGCTGATATCACAAAAAAAAAAAAAGAAAAAAAAAAAGAAAAAAAAAAGCAAAAGTTGCCACTACCAAGTCCTTGCACAAGACAGGAAAGAGGCATCTTTGGATGACTTGAGGACTTGAACATGAAGCCAAGACAAGTTCTCATGACCTCTGTCAGATGGAGCACTTCTATATTATCTCTACAGTTAAAACCCCCAGCAAAGCCCAGCATCCCAACAAATAAGGTAATGACTTCATGCTCAAAGCACAGGAAAGGTCTACAAAAACAAAAGGAAAAAAAACAAACCCAGACCAAATAATAACCTTACAACCAGTTTCATAACAATGATTCTGCTTTTGTTTCAGGGATGACCTTACATTTAGCTTCGCATTCCCGTTTTCCACATGGAGAACACATGCCAGCAGTGTTATCTGCCTAACACTGCACAGCCTCCTCTCCTGTGCAAAGGCTGAACAAGCCCCAACAACCATTTCTAGTGGAGACAGCAAAAAAAAAACATTGATCTTAAAGCAGATCCCATGGCTCTTTGCAAGCGGGGGGGGGGGGGGGGGGGGGGGAACCCACCAGCATAAGGACTTGTTCCTTGAATATAATGGCAAAAAATATAAAAACGTAAAATTAATCCATACAACTGAGACTCCTGAAATACTTCTGCTGGAAGGAAACAGAGTCTTTGAGAAGCATCACTCCAAGACAGGGCTCCCCTGAAAAACAGACCACTTCCGAGTCAGATCTGGTCTGCATTTGTCACAGAAATGCAGGACAGCCTGCAGAGTAGAGCCTGACTTGGAAATAGCAGAGGAAAGTTTTAGTTCTTTGAAGGCTGTGCTTAAAACAATGTAAAGTGAAATGATTCAGTTATTACAGTTGCAATGCTGAGACACAGAGAGCACAGGCTACTTGATATCTATCCCTTACCATTGTGCAAATTGTCTGTCTCTCTTCTAGTAGGGTACATCAAGATTATAGAACGCTCAAGTAACGTTTTCACCGGTTTAGGTTATACACTTTAAGTAAATGAGCCCTATTTTTTTTACAGCATCCAAAGTACTATTTGGATACACTTGACTAAGGAGTTTTTAACAGGCCCTTCGGGCCAACCAGAACGCACTCAGAGGTTCCATATATTTCGTGTCGTGCCGGTTTTGATGAATTTCTGTCATCTAAGCAGAGAGAGCTCTATAAGTAGTACTGCAGCTAAAGGAAAGAGGTTTCTAAGATCTTTTCAAGGTTATTTTTTCAGATGAGGAACTGAACCAAAATAAACGGGGATGGGGAATGACAAAAAACACAGCAAACCATGAGGCGATGAAGGTTTGTGTTTCCAGAGACTGGCTCTCAGCATGCTGCCACAGCCCCCGGACCAGGCCTTGTACTGAGCCCCCGTTACCGCGGGGAGGCCGGGAACGGGGGCCGGGCCGAGCCGGCTGCTTCTTCACACACCCGCAGCTGCCTGCCCCAAACACTCGGTTCTCCTCTTTTTTTTCCTCCATAAACACTACTCCCCAGCTCTTTCTCAGCTCCTCCCAACAGCTCCCGGCCAGCACCAGCTCCCCCCCGCCGCGTCTTCGGGCCCACAGCCCAGTGCTGCCCGCCAGGCCGCGCTCACCCCACCCCCACCGGCACTCACGGCCTCCTTGGCTCTCCTGGTCCCCCTGGATACCGCGGCCCTGGAGGACCCGGAGCGCGTCCATACGCGGTGGCTCCTGAGCGTGGGGGGCTCCAGGGAGATGAATTCGGAGCTCGAGTCCAGGAGGTCAAAAGGTGGCCGGCGACAGCGGCTGTCGCGGGCGGCCATACGAGGCGGGCGGGCGGCGCTGCTCCGCAGGACCACCATGGTAAGGAGGCACACAGACCCGCGCCCACCCAGCCGTCAGCGCCGCCCGGATCCCTCCGCCGCGCTCCCTCCCGCTCCGCTCTCCCCTGCGGCCGCTACTGCTGGCCCGCGCGGCGGAAGGACACACGGGGCACTGCGGCCTGCGCGCCACACACGTTTGGCGCCGAAAATTCGGAGCGCTGCGCCCGGCGGCGCGGGGCGGGGTTGGTTCGGCAGCTCCGCCTCGTCCCGCCCGCCTGAGGGTCCCAGCACCTCCAGCCGCTGCTCCGGCTGTACCCGCGAAGTGCCCGCGCCGAGCGAGGATGGCCGCGGTTTCCTCGGGGACGGCATAGCGGCTACCTCCGCCGGGCCCGGTGCTTCCTGCGCTGCCCTCATCCCCGCTCAGACCTGCCATGGCGCGGCCTGAGGCCGGTTATGAGGCGGCGGTGCGCCCCCGCCCCGCCTGCACCTACACCAGCTGCTACTGGTAAGGAGGACAGAGACGGGCGAACAGCTGCCCCCTCACAATACCGTAGGGCGCCGGGACAGCTGGAGCCATCGGCAGGAATGGCGCAGCTGCGGGCTGATCACGCTCCTGGGCTCGTTTTTCGTCACGAGAAATGAAGTTGGAGGAAAACAATATAAATAATCGATGTTGTGTTTTTCAGTGAAGAAAATGTATGGAAGCTTTGTGAGTACATCAGGAGTCAGGATCGGCACCCTTTAGAAGAATTTTATGCTGTTTTCATATCCAATGATAGGAGGATGGTGAGTCAATGGGATGTGATCAGAGTCAGCTATGGAAAGGCTCGGGCCTTCAGACTGCAACCCAGTGTAGGTGAGACATGGTCCTAGCTATTTCGACTGCAGCCCAGTGTTGGGGAAGGAGCCTTCAGCCCAGCCTGTAGGTGAGATACAGTCCAAACCCGTCTGGTAGATCAGTTTGGCTCAGAGGCGTGCAAACCACACGGCGTGAGATCTTTAATTATGCACTGCATTCAGGACAGTGGAATGAGGCATGCTGTCCCTGTGAGTTATGGGCGTAATTCTGTCTGTAATTTGTCAATTCAGAAGAGTAGTTATCTTTATAAAATCATAGAACTATTAATAACCATAAGGTTGGAGAAGACCTCTAAGACCATCAAGTCCAGCTGTTAACCCAGCACCACTATATTCACCACTAAACCATGTCCCCAAAACTTTTGAATGTTTCCAGGGATGGTGACTCCATCACTTCTCTGGACAGCTTTTTTATTGTGGCCCAGAATAGTATCTCCAATTTCATGCTCCTGAGAGAGAAACTAGATAAAATTTTCTTATTGCAGCACAGATGTAAGCTGAGGAAGTTATAGGTTAGCAAAGATTAACCAATTTACCTGAAATGAATCTGAAAGATTTTATTCACTTCAGGTTCACTTATAACTTTCAGATTCCACTCTGGAAGCAGAAATCTGGACATGGAGATGAGCCTGTTGTCTGGGTAAGGCATTCATTACTCTCAATAACTTTGAGTGTGTACCTCTGTAGTTGATAGCTGCAGGATCACTCCTGGGTGTGTAACAAACTGTTCCATCTGGACACAAAGAAACACTTTCTTCTCTGAGGATGATGGAGTGCTGGTGCAGGTTGCTCAGAGGGGTTGCAGAATCTCCATCCTTGGAGATTTTTAGAAGCTATCCAGATACAGTCCTGGGCACTTGGCTGTAGGAGAGTCTCCTTGAGCAACAGGCTGGACCAGATGACCTCTTGAAGTCCCTTCCAATTTTACACATTGCATAGTTTTGTATTAATATTTATAATGTTTTACAGCATATTTATAAACAGCCTAAATCTGTTTTGGACCATCCCTCATAAATTAATAGTGAGACAGTCAGTAAAACCTACAGGTGACAAGTCTGAATTATAGTAAGAATGCATAAAATTATTATTAAATTATTAAAATTATTATCTGGATACTGAGGCTGCCAGCCCTGTAGAATTGTAGGTAGATGACTGTACTTGTAAGAAATAAATGGATGAAAAGATTTATGTAGGCCTGCCAGATGATAGAAAAATATAATCATATATGTATTCAGGTGTCAGCAGTTAAACTGACAGTGGCTTTGAAGTGTCATTTGATCAATTAATTTAGTTCAGTAATTGATGATGCAGAATGCCTTGCTATCATTATAGAGTCCTTTGAGTTATCTGGCACAGAAAAAGCTATTTCTTGTGGGAATTTCTGTTTCTGAAATTTTGCAAAGTAAGCTGCAAACTTCTCAAGTTTTCTGATTTCTGAATCCCTTCCAAAATACTGGTATCTTTACAGCACAAAAAAAAAAGGGTTGCTTTAAAAAGAGGTCCAGGTGTTACAGAGAGGACCTAAAAGGGAATAGCAGAGTCAGAAAGGCCATGACAGAATGTGGATTTCTCATAAAAATTCATGTATTAAAAGGGTTATTAACTTTGACATTTCAGTGGATTGTAGGTTATGTAAAGCTTGTAAGATAATTTTTCTTACACTCTATAATAGGTTTTTCTAAATGCTGTTGAATGTAGTTATGTATGTATTTTAGTCTGGTGAAGTAGATTTCCTAAATCTTTTTCATTCAAATTTCTTTGTGTTTTTAATATTGAAAGTGTCAAAAGACAGTGCTCAACCCTTTTTGAGAGTGGATCCAATGTAAATTTAAATAAATTGTTAAGGGGTACCTTCAATTTAATTTTGGAATACAGCAGCATACATGCCTGAGGCCTAATGTCACTCACTGCAGCGTCCCCAAACCTCCACCTGTATTTCTTACAAGTTCAGAAATAAAACTGCACTGCATAACCCAAATAGTTGCCTTGAAAAAGTGTAATATAGTACCCACAGATATTTTTTCTCAGCTTCAAGAGCTGCTACAGGAAATTGTCTTACTCCTGTGGTCCTCCTGAGCTGTTCCCTGGTTTTTCAGTGGTGTGCTGGTTTTTCAGGTGCTTCTGGCAGCTGAACACTCGACACTCAAATTCACAGACCGTGTTACTGCAACAGGTACAAAATCTCTTATTAGAAGAGATCACTAGGTAACTTTAATGTTAACCTATCATTTTATCTTGTGAGTTTATTTATGACTGGGTCTAATAAAAAAATGCTTAACCAAACACCTTTTGTGGTTTGGTGTGGAACATGAGAGAGATTTTCTGTTTCCTTAGTAGTGTACACTTTGGATTGCTGTCTTGGTTTAAATCAAAGGAGGCTGCAAAGAAATGGGGAGAATAACAAGGTTTCTGGAGGAGCAGATGGGCAAGATAGACATTATGAAATCTCTCTCCTGGTGCCAGAAATATTACAGGCTTAATATTCAAGGACAGTAAGCAGGCTTTAAAAAAAGGATCTGAACTTATGATTTTAGGAATCACTTTTATTCCCCTCTCTTTGCCAGTTTCTCTTTAATTGCTGTTTAATTAATGGCAATTACCTTTCTTCCCAGGACTACCATGTTATTCTACTTCATGTTACCAGTGGGGAGCAGAACTTCATTTATGATCTTGACACAGTGTTGCCATTTCCATGTCCTTTTGATGTGTACAGTGTGGAGGCCTTTAGGTTGGATGACAGCCTTCGCCCAGAGTTTCACAGGTGATGACATGAAATATAAAGACAATGAATGTTATTTCATTAAATCAAAGTTGAAGTCCTCTTTGTGTATGCATAGTGATGGAGGTTTCTTTACTATACTCCAGTAAAATAAATGCACTGTGTTACTTTTCTAAAGCTCTTTACCGTAGTCATTTTTCTTTCCCACTGTAGCTTCATGTTAACAACTTGGCCCAACGTTGCTGGTTTGTGTATTTAATAACATTAGTGCTCCTTGATGAGAGGAAAGCTCTTATTCTGAGTAATTAGTGCAGTATGTAAGAGTAAAATGTATTTTACTCTAGTTACATCTAAAAGATGTATATGCATCTTTTAATACAATTTTGCATCTTATTTTTAAGAAAAATCAGAATGATTCGAGCAGATTTGTACTTGAAGACATTTGCTTCAGACAGATCTCATATGAAGGATGCAGATGGGAAATGGCAGAAACCTCCTCCTCCATACCCTTGCATTGAAACTGCAGGTGAGCTCCCAGAACTCTTTCTTTCTGCTTACAGTGCTGAATGAAGTAGTCCAGGTTGCACATGGGAAATAAATAACTTCTTTAACATTTGTCCAGACAGCTCATTACTTCATATGGGAAAAAATAGGGCAATGAAGCATTTCGTACTCTCCTTTTTGGTCACATAGTCTAACATGCCTTCTGGCATTTACTGGTACATTAATTACTGTTATTCATAAACTGAGCAGAGAGTGAGAGGTAAATAATACTGGTCTGTTGTTACAGCAGGGGATTGAAGCAAACAGGCCAAATAAGTTGCTAAGGGGTCACAAAGTTTTTCACACAGTGAATATACCATATTCTAGCACACAGATCCTATTCTGTCAAAGTAGTGTTGGCAGGAGGAAGTTTTCAGGCTCTGCTAAGTGTAGTGGGTTAGCCTGCACAAAATGTTTGAGGTGTCTTTACCAGGTGAATGGACTCTACAATGTTTCAAGTCACTGGCAAGTTGGCAAGCTTTTCCTTAAGCCTTAAGCCTCTTTTAAGTGATAGCCTAGCTAATAGCCTCTGGGCCAGGCAGAGAGAGGTAAAGAATTGGCATCTACTCTGTAGAGCTGCTTAAGGCATTCTTATCACACAACACTTCAGCTTATTCTAATCATGTGTTTTGCAAGCTGAGTGAGCATTTGCTGTGTGTGTTTGTTTGTTCTCTCATTTTCTTCCAAGGAAGGCATGGTGACGTTTTGCTTTGAAAGCGTTTGAAAGAGTTTTCATGTTACTGCTCTGCATGTTTGGTTTCGTTGATTTTTAATAATGCAGTACTGCTATGTGTTTATGTTAGAGAAGGGAGGGTCAAAGAAACATGTTCTGTGTTTAGGTCCAAGTGATTTTAAGTTGCTGGGAAATTAATTCTTAGTCTTTGCTTTGGCTTCTAAGGAAGCTTGGTGTTTCACATGAGGATAGAAATGAATTATGAGAGTGAGTAGGAACACAGATGTAGTCTTTGTTATGAAGCTTTAGGCATTTTCTAGATAATCCAGTTTATGAAGCACCTTGAATTCTAAATCTTGGTTATTATTTTCAGCAGAGTTTTATGCAAAAGTATTGTAGGGATTGTAGGATTCCTGAATTACAGTGAGTGGTTCTCTGTTAGCTGGAGCCTCGCAGATGCTGGGAACTTTTTTGTCTGTGGAAACCTTGTTAATGATAACTGGCAGGTAATGAACGTGTGAGGAATATAGATGAGGTCAGATCAGAAAAGCAAAAAATTCTATTCAAATCAAAAGAGTGAAAAACATTACTTGTGGGTAGTAAGTTACATAATGACTCAGACAGTTGCAGATGTGTACATGTATCTCTAGCTGGAGTAAATGACTCCATAGCTGCAAACCCTGTAACTCTCCCCATACCTGTCATGTCTGGCTGAGCTTTACTGCACTGGTGAGCAGCAGCCACAGGCCTCAGCCAGCCTCCAGATTGTCTCTGTGATGCTGGAAGATAGAGAAGGATATGTAGCTCTTACTTCCTTTTATGCTTTCATTCTTTGCTTTATACCTTGCCATGTTGAATGAAACATCCATAGGTCATCCATCCAACATCTGCCCAAAACAGGGATTCATCAGGGCTCTATCCAGCAGTCTGGTCTTGAACACCTCCAGGGATGGTGGTTCCACCACCTTTCTGAACAGTGTTCTAATGTTTGACCACTGTCATGGTAAAAAAAAAAAAAAAAAACCAAAATTAAGCATCCTAGTACATAATCTGAATTTCCCATGTTCCAACTTGCCTTTTTCATTTCTTGTCCTGTTGCCAGGCTTCTCCAAGAAGACTGTGGCTCCATTGGCCTGCCTCTGATCAGGCAGATGTAGTCAGCAGTAATGTCTCCTCTTCATCTTCTCTGTTTAGGGCTGAACAGACCCAGTTCTCTGAGCCTCTCCTTGAATTAATGTTGTCCTGCACCAAACAACTTTATTTTCCTCTTCTGGGTCTACTTCAGTTTGTCCACTTTGGGGTTTTTTTTTTGTGCTGAGGAGCTCCAAATGGATACATTTGCAGTATTGCAGCACTGTGCTGATGTGCTCTGGTCTCCTGGTCAGTGGGCTGAAAGAAACTTGTTACCCTGCACCCACTGAAGGTGAAAAGTCATTCACTAGAGAGCTTCAAGGTCTGAGAACAGGACTAGATTTTCACAGATCTAGGACATCTAGTTCAAGCTGTCTTTCATTTAGTACCAGTTCCTCCAGCTTTACTTTTTGTCTTCCCTTTGTATTCACTTGAGATACTTTATAATGATGTGTGCTTCAATGAGCACAGTGCTGCGAGTCTGTGAGGAGTCTGGGTCCAACTGTAATGTCTCAGCACAGTTTTATCAAGCATAAAGCTGCCTTATTTTTAATTTGATGTAAAACTGGGTGGCAGATCTTTTGTTATCATAAAAGAGCCTGGGGTATTAATGTTCATGTCCATGCCAAATTCCATTGCAGATAACTGTTTTCTCCCTGCCGTTTCACATAGATAGAACATTCTGCATTCCATGTTGATTTGTGTTTGAATAAGATTAAATTACTTACATATTTCATGTTAGAGGTGACTGCAATATAATGGCTAGCAGAACTGACCCCATATTGTTTTAATACCAATTTTATTTGTGAGGCACATTTCTATCAGAGTGGGTTTGTTTTGTTGGGTTTTTTTTGTTTGTTTTCATTTAGAGTAGCCAAATTCCTCAGCTTTTGAGAAGATGCAAGGTTTTCATATTCCTTCTTTTTCCTATATGTTTTTTTTTATGTTTGTGGCAGTTTGACCCAGCCTGGATGCCAGGTGCCCACCAGAGTTGCTCAAGTACTCTTACCCACAGCTGTACAGAAGAGAGAAAATGCAATGAAAACTCATGAATCGAGATAAGGATGGGGAGAGATCATTCACTGATTACAGTCATGGGCAAAACAGACTCAACTTAGGGAAATTAGCTGAATCTATTGCCAATCAAAATCAAAGCAGAATAATGAGGAGCAAAACAAATCCTAAAAACACCTTTCCTCCACCCTCTCTCTTTACCAGTCTTAGCTTTATTCCCAGTTCTCTACCTCCTCCCTCCCCACTCAGTGGGGAATGGGGGTTGCAGTCATCACAGGTTGTTCCTTCCACTGCTGCTCAGGGAGAGGAGTCCTTCCCTTGCTCCAGTATGGTGTTCCTCTCTTGCAGTTCTTCATGAACTTCTCCAATGTAAGTCCATCCCATGGGCTACAGATCATGAACTGCTCCAGTGTGGCTCCCTTTCCACAGGGTGCAGTCCTTCAGGAACAGGCTGCTCCTGCATGGATCCCCCATGGGGTCACAAGTCCTACCACCAAACCTGCTTCAGCGTGACTCTTCTCTCCATAGGTCTGCAGGTCCCTGCCAGCAGCCTGCTCCAGCATGGACTTCCCATGGGGATCACAGCCTCCTTTCAGGCATCCAGCTGTTCCAGCCTGAGCCTCCTCCATGGGCTGCAGGGGCACAGCTTTCTCACCATGCTCTGATGCCTTGAGCACCTCCTGCCCCTCATTCTTCACTGACCTTGGTGTCTGCAGAGTTGTTTCTTCCACATATTCTTATTCCTCTCTGGCCACAATTACTTCTGTGCAATAGATTTTTTTAATTTCTTAAAGGAAGAGGTACTACAACAATCACTGATGGCTCAGCCTTTGCCAGAGGTGGTTCCATCCTGGAGCTGGCTGGCACTGGCTCTGTTGCACAGGAGGAAGCTTCCCTCCCTTGCTACCAAAACATTTTGGAATTTAATTGTGAAATCATGATCATGAACAAATTAAGCATTTTTCTCCAACTGGTAACTCAAAGGGAATAAATCTTAAACAGTATTTGTCCTGTTCACAGGGTTACAAAATAAATCATCAAAAATAAGCTTACATGGAGTCATAAATTCCAGTCTATGCCTAAAAAATTGAAGCTGGCACAAGGTGATTTTTTAAAAACATTTTTCTAAAAGGCAAACAACTCCAACCAATAAAACAACAATAAAAAAAACTCCTCTCAGACTCCTCAGTATCTCCTCAGAACTCACATGCTAAGCATTAGCCTCTTGGAACTGGCTCTGCTCTAGCTGTTTTTTAGAGTTAGGCCTCTGTGGTTTTTTACTGGCATTGCTCTGGCCTCTATTCTGCTCTGCTGCTATGGATGGCAGGAGAGGCTGGCCAACCTAACTGGCTACACAGTGCTTTCCCACCCTGCCCTGTCCTCAAAGCTGCTCTGCTGGAATAAACGTATGTGAGCTGCAACACATTCCCCATATCCCACCTGGTTGCCACTTACCTCCTGTTGAAAGAAAACAGGATATTTTGTTCAAATAATAAAAACTAAGAAAATGAGTTTTGGTGAACAAATTCATTATTCTAGAGCTGGTGAGCCCAACCTTGGGTTTTCTTTTAAATCTTCTTTCCACAAAGTAATGAGGGCTGATTCTGTTTAATTGATGACTTGGGATGAGATCAGCCCTCCTTACTGCAAGCCTGTGTAAAATACAGCTTGCACAGTGCATTTCAAAATCACTCTGAACAGATGGTCATATGGCTTATGTACAAGTGTTATTAGCAGCTCTAACACTGGAAAGCACTGCTTTGAATTCCACTTCTCCCAAGGTGTTTGGTGCACATTTGCTGGATTGATTTGTAAAAGCTTTATGTTCTTTTTATTATTAATAAAATCCCTGTTAGTCAATAATGATGGGGTTTTACTTGGGTTGTTTTTTTTTTTTTTTATTTTGAAGACAATGAGTAGGACAGCTGCGAAATTCTGGAGACACTGTATCAAACATGTATGTAACAGGAAATGTGTTAGACAGAGGCCTGACAGATGTCTGCCGTTGCTTTTTGTATCTCCTCTGAAGCTGTGGCAGGATCTCAGTGAAAGTGAAAAGGCACTGATAAGGATACAAGTAGCTACTATGCACTTCATGGGAACCTTCTGCTGCTCTCATTTGAGAATAAAACTCCAGTCTTTCAAGTTAGGTCCTTAGTTCATGA